TGTCTCGCCCACTGCTCCCCTCAGCAATGTATTTCAGTGATCTGCCTGTTCTGCTCCCCACTCTGTCTTTGGCAAATCCTCTTATCCACCACACCTCTGACCTGTAACCCAGTTCTATAAGCATAAATAAATAAATCTTTAAAAAAAGGAAAAAGTATTCAGACTATACATACATACATACATACATACATACATACATATATATATATATATATATATATATATATATATATATATATAAATATATAAAACCAGAGAATTTGGAAAGAGATTGAGACAGAGAAATGTCTAGTTTTCTAGGTCTGCCATCTACCAGCAGTATAACCTAGGACAAGTTATTCAGCCACTCTCTACTAGTATACTTATTTTTAGAATGATATTACAAATTTATAAGAATATTAGTGTTGTTCTGATATCAGTAATGCAATAAACAGGTAGCAAAATGAGTAGAATGTGGAGCTAAGTGAGGGGAACTACTAATAAATGTTGGTTTTTAATTGTAGATTGTAGTAGGAACAAGAAAGCTTAACTGTAATCTTGTAGTAATTTGACAATTTCACTCTCCCACCCTAGCTTATAAAAATTCCAATTCTTCTCTTCCTCTTGCTTGATGGGCTGAATTTTTTTTGCCATATTTGTTAATAACCTTTTATAAGAATAAGCATAATCCAGAACCACATTAGACAAAAAAAAAAAAAAAATGTAACAACAGCAACAACAAAAAATCCAGGAAGCTGAATAGCTTGCAAAATGAAAGCTGAGGAAGTAACGTAGGAGATGAAAAGCTACACGTTAAATGAGAAAAAAGCATTTTGGGTGTCTTTAGAGCAGCTTTACTTTCTGAGAAAATGAGAAGAAAGCAAAGGGAGTTTTGAAGTGTTTTACTGTGGATTAAAAATTGAAGCTACTTTCATGATCTTTAAGAGCTCAAAGTAACCATTAACTTTCAGCTGAAATTACTTTGGTTTCTGGACAGTGCTTTTTAATGTAGCATCATGTGGAGACGTAGGCATGTGAGACACAAGTTTATGCTTGCTTCATGCAGCCACACTTTCTGAATTATCCAGTAGCACTTTTCTAATCATGCTGTGACATGTCTTCCATGATATGATCTCTCTTTCTTGTGGTTCCTGTGTATGGTGTGTTTACTATGCCTTAAAAAAGAGTCTTCATTCATCCACTTTTACCACCAAACTCTTTTCCATTAGCAACTCCCCATAAAATAGTGCTGGCCTCATCAAGGGTATGCAGTGATCAGTAGTACAGTCATAGGCATTCTCTATTGACAGCACTTCAGACCCAAACCTGGCTTAGCAAGTTGGGAAGTGACTAACAATAGCAGAAAAATACAACCATCCCTTGACATAAGATTCCTTCTTTGATAGTGAATTACTCAGTCATTAAGGGCACCTTAGTCTGGATTAACTTCTGAAAGATATAGTTGAGATTTCTTTTTGAAAACATGCATCACAGTGCTTCTCAGTGGATCTGTTTCAGGTAATCATACTATTTTTCTCAGGATGAAAAAATTTGCGTACGATTAATCACCCTAAATTCATGTCATATCCAACATGATACCTGGGGTTGTAAGACGAAGAGGTCACTTTCACTATTTCAAATATAGAACTGAAAAGTCAACACAATTCTAATGTGTCAAACATTTTAATCATCTCTGCCTTGATCAGTCCTTTCAATAGCATACTCAAGACTGTAGATATTACATCATCCTTTAAATCACTCTTGCTTTATCAACTGAATTAATCACATTCAAATTTTCAAAAAATCTCTACTAATAGACAATTGCAACATCACCAAGGCAATTTGTTTTCAATTTCCAGCATGCTAATGGCCTCCTGAAACTAATGGCCCTTTGAAAACTAATGCTTGGGAAAATTTCCTGTGTTGTCATAGAATTGTATACATTTTCTATACAACAACACAATTATTTGATATTACATATTAAAACTTGGATATTTTATCTTCTACTATAAAGTGTGCTTCTACTATGAAGTAACACAAGTTCATTCTGTGCAGGGAAGTACAAACAACCCCTCTATTTTCCAAATCAGAAGACCTAATCAGTCTCCTAACACCAAGGACTTTGTTGAGCTTGTAAATAAATCAATGTGTAATCATAAAACATTTCTTGGCAGTAACTAAATCAAGTAGATTAGTGATGGCCAGCCTAAGCCACCTATAAATTTTATGGCAATTTTTTAATGAGGCAAAGGAAAGGATCTTATCAGCATTTTGTCTTTCAGGGTCAAAAGAAAGGAAGCAAGAAAGAGGCAGAGAAAGCAATTAAGTGTGCCTGGTGTTTGGGAAGTGAAGAATGAATAAAAAAGAAAGGCTAAAAAAAAAAAAAGGCTAAACAAAAGCTAAGCAGATAAAGGCTTATATAGCTTTCAGCTTAAGAACAGAAAGTATCAGTTTGATTTTGCCTCTAAAGGAAGCCTGCTGAAAGATTTCTCAGCCAATGTGACTTTGAAAAAAATTAAAGAAGGATCAGGAAGGTGTAAGGGAGAAAAGTAAAAAAAGAGGAGAGATAGATTAAATAGAAACAACAAGGAGCAAAAGAAAAACCATGCCCAACAGGTAATAACCAGAGCTAGGTCATAATTATTATAACCTAGGGTTCTTTGACCAGTCCTGACCGCTGCCATACTTATTCTAGAAACTATCAAAAAACCTTTTCCTTTGATAATATAATCTTTGCCAATTTGGTATTTCCATTCAGGTGTAAAAATTTATTCTGATTCAGAAGAAGAAAGACAAATACCAGATTGTATCACTGATAAACAGAATATAGAAAACCCAAACAAAAGGTCAGATGAAGCCAAACTAATAACAAACACAGAAAAGCTGACAGTAGAACTGAGGTTACCAGTTCTGTTGGGAGGAAGGAAGGGGAGGAGTGAGAACCAAGTGAGGAAGGAGAAAAATAGACTATGGTAGTAGACTGGGGGAGCTTTTGTAGTTGGTGCAGTTTGGTAACAAAATCTGAAGTGGAGCCTGTACTTCTGAAACACAAACAATATTATAAACAAATATTACCTGAATTTAAAAATATATATATTCTGTTCAGTAAGAACCCAAATAAACTAAAGTAGAACCAAGACTCACTCTTCCGAATTAAATTAGACATTAATTCATTTAGAGGTCATTAAGCATATATACTCCCTGGATGGTGATTTTTGAGGGAGGAGAAGTCGGGAGGGAATACTGGAAACCTGACCTTCATTTGCAGCTGCAGACAAGGCCAGGAGGAATGATGCAAGTCACCGTACTGATATGTGTCTTTGGTGACTCAGCTAGTGACCCTTACAGTAGGAAGAACCCATGTTAATTCAGAAAGCAATCTGCCTCTACACAGCAGGAACTCTGCCTGGCATCAAGCATTAATGTTCAGTTAGCTTGACCTTTGATGCAAAAAGAAACTCTGCTCTGTTCCTCATAACATTGCCTCTAGCTTTTATGTGTGTTCTCACTCCTGTTTCTCATCTCTGGCTTTTGCCCTTAGTGATGCCTTTAACTTTGTCATCTAAGATCTCGCCTTGTCAGTTTCATTGTCTTTTTAAAAAGGAGGTCACAGGAACCTTGTGTTTTTCTAAAAGAAAAAGTTTTTAACCCACACATTCTTCTCCCTACCTAAGGAGCTTTTTTAAATTTCCCACAATAAACCAGTAAGAAAAAACAAACAACAAAAACAACAACAACAAAAAAAACTTAAAAATCCTAAAGAGGAGCATCTATTTTCATTTTAAGTTAAATATAAAATCAAAAAATGGAAACGGGTTTACTGCAGAAGTAAAGATTCCCAGAAACTTAATTTTGTTGTATAATCACAGAAAACAATGTTCAAAATAACTAAAGCAAAATTAAGAGAAATAATTTAAAAATATTAACTTCTTGTTTAGTTACCTTCTGAGAGTTTTCTACTTAAAAGGGAAAGGACAAAGAAAAAAAAAAAAACAAGATAGAATTGGGTAGATAAACAGATAATTCATGGAATTTACTATAATAAACTGTAATCTACTTCCATAAAGAAAAATTGTACCTTTATGACATAAAGGTATAATTGGACACAGAAAATACTTGATGTAAGAATTCTAAATTCAAAGTTTACTTGAATCCAAACTCCTATGCTTCAGCATATTCTGTGAAAAATTGTAAATTCTTCTCCTTTAGTCAACCTGCTAAGTCATCCATATTGTTTCTAATTCAGGTTTTCTGTCAATCTTCCATAAAATACAGGAAAAAAAGAGTCGCTGGAGTAAGAACTACAGGCCTTAGATTCTTGCTCTACATATTAATTAGCTGTTCGCTTTAACAAATATACTGCATTACATTTTTTAGTAGGAGGTAAGCCAGAGGACATGAAAGGGTGTGTTTGGACCAATTACTCAGCTCTAGGCTGACTTCTATACATACATCCTACCCAATCCTATCCACTTGCTGAAGCACCTACTTAGAAGGAATTTCTAAGAACATTTAGAAGGGCCCTGCACTTGGTTTACTATTACTCTGCTGTCATATTCTTAACATTTTTGATTTTTAAAAAACAGACTTCACGTTTTGATTTTTTGCTGTGTCCTGCAAATTACATGACTAATTTGCCTTAACTGTCTGGACTCTGTTTCCTTATCTGTAAATAAGAATTGGAAGATTTCCAGCATTATTATAACTCCTGGGTGTGATTACACAAGGCTTTGGGATGATCTGGCATTTAGGGAGCATAATGCCACAATGGCAGATTGAGGAGATTTTTCTGGGAATTCTGTAGCCAGTACTAGTCTCATATTCTAATGGGCCTGTTATTCCCAGATAATAGAAATTTCAGGATTGAAACTAGGAATTACCTTGCTTCTTCTCTTTCTTCTCCACAACTTAGGTTTCACAGTGCTACCATCCAGATACATATTGTCACAAGAATTTTTCAAATAAACCATACCCAAACTAAGAGGCTTAGAAAACTATCCATTACTATTTTTTTTACAGACCTGTAGTTGGCTATTTGCTCTGCTCTTCTTAGTCAGCAGGTGTTTCTCTGGCTACAGATAGAGAGGGAAAGAATCAGTCACTTTTGCAATACCCTGTAACAATCACTTGAGTCAGAAACTCTATATGGTAATACCCCACCCTGATAACATTCCATTGTATGATCCTAAGCAAATTACTTGAGGTCTCCCTTCATGCCGCATTTGTATAAAAAATGCATCAGACTAGAAAACCTCGTAACACCCCTGCTACTCTGATGTCTTCATAATCTGTGAACTTCTCTGTCCCTGCTTTAATCACTTTTCCAACCTCTTCCTTCTCTGGGCCAGATACCTACCTCTGCATCCTAAAGAGCATTTATATAAATTCTTCTCAATTTTTGCCAGAAAGCCTCTTGCTACAATGGAAAGCATAGCAGAACTCCACCAGGTTCATTGTCTATGACTCTGGCTCCTTTTTCTCTACAGAGCAGATTCTTTTCATTTGAAAGCTCTTTTCCCAGCTCCACTGTCCCTCCAGTCTCCCTCATGGCTAAAGCCAAAGAATGCTGGCATGGCTCACTGGAGGCCTTTGAGTAAGGGCAGCCTTCTGTTAAGTAAGAGGGACAGTGTGTTCTTGCTGAAGCCAGCATGGTCCAATTGGTGTGTGTTTGCCAATTTACATGTTTTTTTAAAGACATAACCATAAAATTTCACTCCAGAGTTCTTATCAGCCAATCACATCTTTTCCCAGTTTGGACAGTTCCAATTTATCAGTGTCTAAACCATAGTTTATTTTCTTTTTCCTTGTTAAGATACTCCTTTTTCTCTTCCAACTCATAATATATCTCAATAAGCTCTTCAGTAGCGTTTTCTGTAGATCCAGATCTTGTTTTATTTTTCTGAAAAAATAGTAACACAAGCACAGGAATTATACCTGCGAAGATCTCCTATCTTAATGTTCCAGAGCCAGTAAATATGGCACAGACATGAATCTGTTTGCTTTCTGTATATTGCTTCTTGGACTGCTTCAGGGAATGGGAGCATTGTGTTTTAAACTGCAAACTGCTTCTTATGCTGCCAGATATGCCTTTTGTTTGTGCATTCATTTGTGTTTCATTGTCTCCAAAATAAATCTGTCTTTTCAAATCAGGAAATATTCTACTAAGCTAAAAAAAAAATAGGGATAATGATTGAGGACCAACTAGTCTGTTTTTAACCCAAAGGCATGTCCATTTCCTCTTCAGTGGTTTTTATCATTTTATTGAATGTGTCCAGGTTGGCAACACAGTGGGCTTTTCTGTCAACCCTCAAGGTGACATTTGAAGGTCATGGTCACCTTATATATACTTCCATCAGTGTAGTGATTTTCTCTGAGGTCTATGCTTGATTTCTCCAATAATTAAACAAGCACATAAAATCTCTGAAGTATCTGTACTTGGGCCTATTAAGATGGATGGGTAGGAATTGTAGACAGTAGGGTAGCAGTAACCTAATCTCACATCTACACAAGTCCTCATATTCTTATTTGTGACAGTAAAATAGGTTATATATATGATTATGGAAATATAGAATTGAAAGTAGGCATAAATTTTATACCATGTTCTGCTCCTAATGTGCTTTGGTGTTTTTACAAAGCTGTAATTATCTTTAAAATAGAGCACACTGCAGTATACATCTTATAGTAAAAGTTTTAATTTATTCAAGAGAATATTTAAAATACACTATAAACTTTGTCACCTTATTTTAACTCATTTTTTTAAATAAACTAGAAAATTTAGACATTGAGAGTTGCTGAAGCTTCTCTAGCTTCTCTAAGAGGTCCTGTTTTTCACAAAACAGTTTTGTTTCTTTGTGTATTGCTAACACTTCTAAAGAAAGTACTGGAGCAGCAGAAAATAGAAAGGAGTGGTTCACATGGTTTGGGAGACGGGTAAAGGTGGGCACCAAATCAAGCACTTCAGTCCTAGAGAGGAGTTGATGTGGTCATATACAAGTAAAAGACAAGGCTGAGACATATTGTCTATCAAGGGGACATCTAAGCTGCTGTGGATTCACCCAAAGCTCACCTAGGTTTTCAGGATGTTGTGCTAACATCCTTGGCACACAACTTGTGCCCTGGCTTCTGTCCAGTTCTTAATCCCTACCCTCTTTTACCTAAGCCTTTGCTTCGGCTATACCATAGACTTCAAACCATAAGGATGCTGTTGAACTCCTTCAGAACTTCATATATATTGTCCCTCCTACCTGAACTCACAATAACTTACTTACTGTATAAACTCTTGTTCTTCCTTCATAAATAAGTCTGTGTCTTATGCCTCCTACACTCAGAAAAAAAAAGACCTGAGAATATTCCTATCAATTATGCAGTTATAATCCATGCTTTACGCGTCTCCTTCAGGGAAAAACTATATTTTATTGCTGCTTTATCCCCAGTATGCACAATGCATAGTGCATGACAGACTCAATAATGAATAAGTGCACAAATAAATAAAATCAACCAGAAATTTGCTAGTATTGTGGACCACAGTCTAGACCCACAGAACTAGAATCTGCATTATAACAAGATCCCCTGGTATTTTGATTGCTCATTTTCATTTGAGAAATACTAGTTCACCTTACTCTGTTATCTTACTTCTATAAACATCTGAAGAATCAAAAATATGTTTCTAAATTTGATAATTATTGATGTACCTGCTCTGCACTGTGCTTAATTGACACACGTGTGTGTGCATGTGTGTTTGTGTGTGCTCACACACTTCCATTCTTTCCTCTCACCCAAAAAGCTAGGCAGGAACTCCTTTGGCATTAGCCCACTATTCCTTTCAACACCAGCACTAGGTTATGTCTAGACTAGGTGCTAAGTGTAAGTTTATGGGAGAAAAAAACAGAGAAGGGCTACTGGGAAGAAATGGTTTTGAAAAACTATCATGTATGTCTCAATAACAGCCTACAATAAAACAACCATTGTCAAACCACTGGGAGGGAAACTACAATGAACTACCTTGTCTCTATTAAGCATCAAGTAAAATATGAATTCTTCATTATTTTACTACTTGTTACTCTCACCAGCTTGGTCCTCAACTTCCACCAGTCTCCTTGAGGGATAAACGGTAGTCCATTAAGATCTAGTTTTCTGATTTACATTCTATTTTTAATTTCCCTTATTGTTATCATAACTAGGGAGTTGATACTATTGGTTTACAATCAGCAACTCTTATTCTTCCTTGGGACACTTAGGAAATACTAAATACCATATTTTAACCTAACACCCTGAATTGTTCACACTTTGCAATTTGATGAGTCCAGCACTAGTAAATCCAGCTGACTCATTAGTCCAGATAACTGTTAGTTCATTATTTACTTTTTTTGAGTAGACCACACACATAGAAATTGAACTGAATAATGGGGGTCAAGAGAAACCAGTTAAATTATTTTGAAATCCCAGGAAAAATATTACATAGAAAGATAAAATTGTTAGCAAAGCAATAGACAAAGAGGTACTGGAGGAATATGATAGAGGTGGGAAAATGATGCTAACTTTTATTAAAATTCTGTTGGAGTGAAATATTGTAACTGGCACTTCACGTACATTGTCCTATTTAATTTTATTCACCTGTTGAAGCAGGAGTCATATTCTGATCTTAACAATGCAGAAGACATCTCCTAAGTATATCAGATTCATATAACTAGTTACAGAAATAGGTTTGAACCACACCTCTTCCTTCTATTTATACTTTAAACTGTGATTTAAAAAACACAACATAAAATTTGCCATCTTAGTCATTTTTTAAGTTTAGTACTGAAAAGTATCATCACATTGTTGTGCTCTGGGACTTTGCATGTATAGCCACTAAGTACTATATTCCCACCTCCACTCTACCACCATTGATTTTATTTACTAGTCAATGATAGTATTTTACTCATCTTTTCTTTATTATATGTCTTCTTTTTTCTCTGTCTTCACATGATACTATGCATGTTATATAGTCCTGGTCTATTTCAGCAGTGAGCAAAATGAGTTGAAAGAATATAAAGTCTCAGGCTATTACCTTCCCTATGGAGTCCATAAAGCACACAAAAAAGGATAGCCAGTGGAAGAAAATCAGGAGAAGACTATTCAGTTCTCGTGATTTTGGAAATTCTCCTGTTCATTTTGCCTGTTTTGAGAGGAGCTCTTGACATAGATCACTATAAAAATAAGTTGTGCCTGTCCAAAATTCTCACTTTCCCACCCAATCACATTCCTGTAACCAGGACGCTAGAACTGCAAGCCACAGCAAACAGCAACCTTCCAATGCTTCGTAAGGAACGGATACTTGCCAAGTCTTAGGAAGTGCCTAGTGGCCATGCTCACAGGAAATGTTGTCTGCCCCTAGATCAGACATGCATTTCCAAAGATGAGACAGAGTGAAAGGTACAATGGCCCTGGTAAAGGTTTGCAGATCTTTGAATTTGACCCAGTGACATATACAGCCTGTATAATTTTATTTAAATGAGTTCTTTATTAGATATCCAAAGAGAATAAAACATTTACATTGATGTGCTAGCAAGCAATCAGGGCTCAGGTAAGCCATTTGTGAATGCCAAAAGCAGCTGCACATATCTCAGAACCTGCTCTTTAGTGAGTCCTGTATCATCAAGGATGGGCTCATCCTTGGCAGTCAGCATCCCTGTGTGCCAGTCTGTAGGAGTGCAAAACATCATCTCTCCCTGGATTCCATGTCAGCAAAGATGATGGATTGGCTTTGTTCAGATCCTGCAGCATGTTGTTTCATTTTGTGGGGAGCAGAAGCTTTCTGTCCTAGTACCTGAGCCTTGAAGGTGAGCTGAGGGAAGCAGACCTGTTTAAGTCCAACTCTACAGCTAGTAACAAAATGATATGAAGTGACTGACCTAGTTTTTCCGCACACAGGTTTATAAATGAGATAAATTTGATGAAGAACTAACATTTATTGAATTAATAAGTGTTAGCTCTTTGTATTTTTTACATTTTCATTTTTAATACTGCAACCTGGACTAGAACTTAAGTCCTCAGATATTTTTTAGACTAGTCCTCTTTTCTGTTATCACTGGGGAGACCCAAATTATCTTCTATATGCCAAATCCAGCCTACTACCTGTTTTTTAAAAATCAAATTTGATTGTAAAAGTTCATATATAATGTGTATATCTACACATTATAGCTATAGTAACCTTAATCTATCCAGTTTCAATTGTGAAATCATACACTATAGAAAAATGCCTGTATTTTAACTGGCTTTGACTCAGCATAGGTGAGAGATAGTCTTTCAGCATTTAGTTGGTTATTTGCTTTTATTCAAACAATAGATCAATGAGTTCTTCAAACAAAACACCATCATGGAGTTAGACAAGTTATCTGTTGAATGTGACACACGCAGAGATGCCCACAGGATGATTCATGCTTTTGTGCATTTACAAAACAGAGT